TATATATATTAAGGGTGGATCGGTTCAAGTTACACATGTATTCGGTTTGTATCATGGTTTCAGAATCACGGTTTCGGTACAGTTCAGTACGTGCTATGTTTAGATAAATAAAGGACTATTGTCAAATAAAAATGAAGAAAATTAGAACAAATAATCTAAATACAAGAAACAGAACAAATAAACACAACCAAGCAAATGTACAAATACAATAAACAGGGCTTTTCAGGTTTTTTAGGTAGGTCTAACAGTTTTTAGGTACAGAACTTGATAATGTAATCAAATAAAAAATAACATTGCATATTTGACTGTATAAATTAAAGATTAATCCTCATTAAAATTACAAAAACGATTCAATCAAGAGCAGTGAGGATCCACTACACTAATACTGTACGTTCAACCGACTATGTCTGCTAGGATACTCACCAAGACAGGCATTTTGACATAATTTTTGTGTGAATTTGTCCTTTCAAGCAAGACTTGAAAACAAACTCAATATTTGTGCGTATTCTGAGACGTGAATTTGGCGCTTTAGGTGAGCGCACACACAAATCTTCTCACGTCGCGCAAGAGTTCTAATTTGCGTCTTCTGGCTCTTTAACATTTAAACTGGCAAGGCTTAAATTAGATTAGTTCAAATTAGGGATGCACCGATACCGATACTGGTATTGGTATCGGGCCCGATACTGGTCTCCTGTACTCGTATTCGTTAAAATGCCCCAATACCAAACGCCGATACCATACAGCATGTGACAAGTGCCATATTCAGACAAAGAAACACCGACAACAGAACAACAGACAGCAGAAAGGAGTTAAGGATGTCTACTACGAAGTATATGTATGCAATGAATATAATGTTAAACATTCAGTATTAACACCTGTATAGCTGATGTGCGCGAGCTGATAAACAAAGCACGCTGAGTGGATTGAGCGCGCGGCGGCGCCGATGCGCGTGCTTGTCATGTGAATATACCTTTCTCACAGACATCACTGGAAAGTTTGTAGTTCAGTCGGATATGTCAAAAACAAGTAAAACAATGCACAAGTTACTTAATGGTAAGGAAAGCGAGAGAGAGAGAGAGAGAGAGAGAGAGAGAGAGAGAGAGAGCGCAATTCTGATGTGTGATCTTTGATGTTCACTCACTTAGCACACACATCATTGTGATGTTCACTCACTTAGCACACGCATCATTGTGATGTTCACTCACTTAGCACACGCATCATTGCGATTAAAACTAAATCGTAAAAATAAAACCATTCATAGGGGCATTCACAAACGTGTGCTGTTCAGTTCTCACATGGGTGCGTGTGCGCGCTATCAACACCTGGGTGATGACGGCATCAATGACTGGTCATATTCCAGCATGCGGCAGTCGCATTGAACAAAGAGTGACAGGTTTGTCCATGTTTTTTTTTTT